TAATAATAAAAAATTAAATATTTAAATATATAAATAATAATAAAAAAATAAATTTAAAATATTAAATATTTATAAAATATATTATTTATTTAAATCTTTAAATAATGTTGGTATAAAAAGGTATAAGTAATGGTATATATTAAATAAAGAAATAAAATATAATATAAAATAAAGTTATTATAATGATTGTTATTAATTTAATTGTTATAAAAATGATAAATTATATATATAAGTATTATTTAAAAAAAATTGCTTTTTATATAAAAATTAATCACGTATTATTACGTGATTATTTTTACGTAATAATATTCCATTATTGGCAAATTTTTTTTTTTTTTTATATAATATAATTATATATAATTTAATTAAATTTAATTAATTTAATACTAATAATTTCTTTTTTTTTTTTACCTTTAATTCGTTTTTTTTATATTATAACGTAATTATTAATAAATTTTAATTTATTGTAATAATATATAATAAATTTAAATTAATTCGGATAAATTAAATTAAATTAAAACGGTTAAAATAAAAGTAGTTAAATTTATTATATATGGTTAAATCTTTTATTATATTAGTTAAAGTTAATTAAAACTGGTTAAAAATAAGGTTATTTTCGGTTAAATCGTGAAAGTTATCGTTTTTTTTTTATAATAAGTTAGCATTTTTAACATTTAAAAGTTAAATATTTTTTCCGAATTTTTTTTTATACGTTTTAATATTATTTTAAATTTTTTTTTTTTAAGTTTTAATATTTCCTTTAAATATAAGTTATTTTTTAAAACAAACGTATTTAATAATTTAACAGTTTTTTTAAAAGTTATTTCGGTAAAAAATTAAAGAAATTTTAAATTATTTAAAATCCCGAATAAAATATTAATATATATACAAGTTTTAAAATATATTTTATAATTATATAAGTATTAAATTATAAAACGATAAAACGGTTTTATAAATAAAGTAAAATGTTTAATTATTTAACCGTTAAAATATTTTTTAAAATTTTTTTATAATTTTTTATTATGTTTATATATAATTTTATTTAAGTTTAAATCTTTAATAAAACTTATATTTATATATAATTTAAAGTTTTTAATAACGTGCGTGTTTAAAAAGTTTTGATTTAACAGTTTAAACGGGCGGTATTTTTAACCTTTAAAAATTAAATTAATAAAGTCGTTTTACGTTTTTATTTTTTTTATTGTAAAAATTATCGGGATTGTTAAAAGTTATATTAAATTAAGTTTTTAATGTAAATATCGGCTATTTAATACAGTAAACAATAAAAATAAATATTATAATAATAAACGTATTTAATAAAAAAATCCGTTTATTAATATATAAATATTAATTATATCGGTGTAATAAACGGTAATAATAATAATAATAATAATAATAATATAAATATTATAAATTTATAAATTAAACTTTAAATATTAAAATATTATTATTAAATAAAAAATATATTATATTTATAACATATAAATACACGTAAATTATAATAAATCGATTTTTTATACGTAATAAACGCCGTTTTATTAACGTATTTTAAAACTTATTTAAACGTTTTAAAAACGTTAAATTAATATAAAATTTTATTATATTTATAACGTTATAAAAACATGTAAATTACGAAAAACTTATTTTTTTTTATTAAAAAATTTAAAATATCGTAATAATAACGGTAATTATTTAAATAAATTACATTTTTTACAATAATATTTTGTTAATTTATAACATTATTAATTAATGTTAATATAATAAAGTATAAGTGGTGGTGTACATTAAATAAAAAAATAAAACATAATATAAAATAAAGTTATCACGATAATTATTATTAATTTAATTATTATAAAAATGATAAATTATATATATAAATGTTATTTAAAAAAAATTACCTTTTATATAAAGATTAATCACGTGTCACCACGTGATTATCTTTACGTAATGATATTTTATTAAATAATTATAATATATATTATTATTATTTAATTTTTAAAGTTTTAAAATATATTATTTAAATATAAATAATTATTAATATAAATATTATATTTAATATTTATACTTTTTTATATAAATTAAATAAATAAATAGTTTTTAACTAATAATAATTATTTATTAAAAAATAATTTTCGGATATAAAATGATTTTTACGTTTAATAACCGTTTTTTAAAACCACCTTTTGCCGTTATGGTACCTATTATACGTACCTGCTATACTGTCAAAAATATATCGGGGTATTGCTTTATATTTCTTTCTCATAAGCTTAGGGATACGGCGTATTGCCACAGTTAGTACCTGGTATGTAAATCGGCTCTGTGACTCACTTATGTCCTCTCATCCCCTCAATAAGAAGGGAGGAGTATTGAAATATCCAAGATACGATCAGCATATCTTTGACTCATATTTCTATACATGGCGCCCGTGCCCTGCCATTAATACCACAGTGGTTCAATGCTAGACTCGTCTACTATAAGGGGCACAACTACACTGCCAATGCATTATACAATAAGGGGTATATAGTAATAGAGTCAAAATAATCGTCGGACAGCGCGAGTCAAATTGCGGTTTTCTTTTTAAACGTTTCAAGGTAATCCATGAGCCTAGCGCTTGATAGATCAATCTTACATTGTGACGGTAGTGATGAATCACCAGTAAGACATATTAACTTCCTAGGAGGTATTTATGAAAACCAACTTTTATGACCAACTTGTTAATACATCATAATTAGGTAGGTAGTCAACGGGTATAATAACAGGAGAACCAAATGTCCAAACCATGGATTCTCGTCTCCCCGGCAAGCCGCGGGATCGGCCACGCCCTGACGCGGCACCTACTCCGGACAACAACCGCTCCTGTATTTGCAACGGCCCGGGCTGATCTATCGGGCGTACGGACGTCTATCCTAGACAATCTATACGCGTCGTCACCTCCCGAATCTATAGGAGATAAAAATAAAGCATCAGCCTCGGCGGCCGAAAGACTACACATAGCCCAAGCAGACGTAACAGACGAATCTACACTACGTTCCGCCTCCGCAGAAGCTACCAGACTATCCCCGCCAGAAACGCACCACCTACGTCTCGCGTTCGCGCTCCCGGGGATCCTACACCCAGAAAAGAGCCCGCAAGACATCGACTACGCCCACGCGCTCCACACATTCCAAACCAACACCCTCGGCCCGCTACTCCTAATGAAATGGTTCGGGAACTTCCTCCCGCGGAAGAGCGTCGCGATATGCCCCGAGCCCCTATTCCCCAACACTCCCACTCCCACTCCCGCTCCCACTCGCCCCAGGCACGCAACATGGCTCACAGCCTCAGCGCGCGTGGGCTCGACGGCAGATAACAAGCTAGGCGGGTGGTACACGTACCGGGCGTCCAAGGCGGCGGTGAACAGCCTAACCAAGACGTTCGATAACCACCTGCGGGTGCGGTGCGCGGATGCCGCGGGAGCTATCGCGTATCATCCGGGAACGGTGCGGACGGACTTGAGTCGGGAGTACTGGGACCGCGTGCCGGCGGAGCAGCTATTTACCCCCGAGTACGCTGTTGAACGGATGCTGGAGGTGGTGCGGACGAGGAAGATAAGGGAGGATAGGGGTCGTTGCTGGGATCATCGGGGCGATGAGATTCTGCCCTGAACTTGATTTGATTATTTAAACCGAGCTATGATGCTTTAGGTACTTACTTCGGTTGGCATTGGAAGAAAAAGCATGGTATTCGTACTAGAAATAGTGTATTGATAGATAGGTATTTAGATACATTATATTTACATCTCCTGACACTTGTATGAAATAACGTGCCTTTCAAAGGCATTCGTGGATTATTAAAACTACGAGAAGTATGATCTCAAAGGACGTAAAAAGAAAATGTCGTTACTGTACAGGTATATTAATAGTTTGAGCTGACAACTACCATTTTCATGACCTAGCCGGGTATTTTTGGGAAACCCCCGAGAACTCCATGCTATATTTCAAGTCTCAACTGCACCTACAGCTCTACATTTTGGAAAGACGCCTCGTCTCCAGGAGATGGTGCGGGCCCCTTTTCGTCTGAGCTGTCCCCGCTCTCTTTCTCCTCGCTATCCTTTTTGGCGGCTTGCGATTGGCCTCCAGGTCGTAGGGCGACCTTCTGGGTATCTTTATCCTCAAGCCTTACTTTCTGCTCGTCTGTGACTTTTGCCTTCTCTTCATCTCCTGTCTTATCCTCATCGTCTTCCTCCTCGCTGCTTTCACTCTCCTCGTCCTCGTCCTGCTTGGCTTCTGTTTCTTTATTACTGCTAGGCTGGGCTGGCGGTGGTGGAAGGTCCTTCTGGCTGTGTTGTATCGGCGCGGGGGACGGCGCTGATCTCTGCGTCTCCTCCCCGCCTCCAACAGGAGCAGGTCTTGGGGCATCTAGATAAAACTTAGTGACACCCAGGATGCGACCATTCTTTTCGCAGGCATCGACCCATTCTGGTCGTACAACGGGAATATTCATCTCGACAGCTTTCTCCCACGGTACGCCGCGCCCTTCGGTGGTGACAAAATGCGTAGTATCAATGCGCACGCTATCGACGATCTTAGCGCCGATGCGCTCGACAGCTTTGGTGAGCTCCTCGCGCGTGTGAGGTGGCAGGATACCCGTCGTAATAGTGATGCCGCTTAGGTCGGTCATTTGGTGGGTGCGGACAACGACCTGCTTGCTGGTTTCTATGCCGGCGGTAGTGCGCAGAACCAGATGGAAGGAATATTCGGTGTCGACAGCAAGGCCGCTGATCTTGGTGCTGTGCATGTGCAGGGGCCGAGGGATGTTCCCAGCTTTCTGGCCATTGCGATAAAGGGAGAGGGAGATGAGGTCGGCAGTGGCGAGCTCGATAGGGTCCCACTCGAGGACTACAGAGGTCTGGGTGGCATTGCGGCAGCGGAGGACGGGCGTGCTAGGTTCGGATGCGCCGAAGCATGAGAATATGCGATCTTGAAGAGCTGAGAACTGAGCCTCTGCTTTAGCTTCAGATTCGTTGTTGCGAGAGACGGTGATGTCGACTATGGAGCCCGAAACGATGTTGGGGGGTAACAGAATTGAGGGGAATTCAATCTAGATATCTCCATTAGATCTGATATCAAAGTGGATAGGCTAATTGGTTAGGCATTAGGGTAAGAAGGGTTTCTAAACTTGAAGGGTTATGAAATTGTAAATTGCGACAGTAAGGACAGAAGGGTAGATAATTGTACCTACCAAACGCTTATCAGGGGTTAATAGAACAGTTACGCCGGCATCAACTTTGCCGACGGTAAGAGAAACGAGCATTGTCACTAAAGACGCTATTGAGGATCGAAATGAAGTGAGAATATGAGGTCGACGATGAAAGTTGTAATGTGGATTTGTAGCGTGGATGGAACCTTGGTACAGATCAATGATGGATTGATTCGTTATGCAGTGTACGTACCTAATGTACATAGAAAAGGTGCCTGAGCTTGTACCATATTTCCAACTTGGCGTGTCAGGAAATTATCTTACCTGGCCCCTTACGCGTTATCGCATGCGGGAACCCTTCGATACCCCGCGAATATCTACTATTTACATATGTGAATATTAAAACATGTGACAGCGATTTTCATTTCTTAAGACATAATATTTATGTATCAAGATATATTGATATGTTCCTCGTAATGTATTTTTATATAGGTATTTATGAGTGTTGAGAGCAGCTATCATCTGGCACGACTGTGGTATTGTGTTTTAGCTTTCTTATTATCCATCGATTTCCACGCCGACTTTGAGTCCTGCTTCTTGGGTTGTTGATAGTTTTGCATTACATGGATGCGTCTCCCATCTTTGCCTCGTGCGAGCATAGGTTCAATGGCAGACACGATTTTGTTTGCTTGCTTTAAGAGTTCTGGGAATTTCAGATTGCAAGCAGCCTTTGGATTTGCGCAAATGATGCTTACTGTCCCATGCAAATCCGCAATGATAGAATCGTCCGTCATGATTTTTCTGCCCTCCAGGTCATATCCGTGAGCAGCTAATGCATCGCGAAACGCATGACGTACTCTCCTTGCTGCTACTCTGCACGGAAGAGGCGAGGTTATAGGAACAGAATGGACCGAATACCACAGAGGCTGCTTTTTCTGGGCAATGTACATTTCCAGAACCGATTTAGTAAAAGGGTGTTCATATTTATCCAGGTATCTCAGCGATTGCTTGTTGAAGCAATGCTTCTCGGAAATCATGACACCCAACCCGAACGGATTCGGTATCAATTTCACTCCAGGAGCGCGTCGTAGGACTGAAGGGAACGAGACTTGGTACTTTCTACAGAAAGCAATGATATGATCACCAGGTTGGATTTCCCCTTCAGATGTAGATCCGTCTGAGCCACTCGAAAAGGTGTTTGGTTGCGGGCGTTTTGGGCGGCGCTCATCCGTAAGCGCTCTCTCATTGCTTATCCATCTTTGGAGAGAAACATATCGTCCATAATGTGGAAGCCGTAGTTTTCCCAGGGGCCGGGCAAGATGCAAGCTTGTCATGATTTACCTAGGCCGTCCCCTGTCCAACTGATGAGTTGTCAAATGGCTCATAGCTTCAAGTGAACCGTATGATGTTGGTTATAGGCGTGTAAGAAAGAATAAGGTGGCGCTTTGATAAATTTTATGATTCAGTTATGATTTAGCATGATTCAGCCTTGTGAAATTCCCAACCTTAGCTCAAAGCCTACATATGTATTAGTACATTCCAGTATTGGAGAATACATATAAAGCTTGAAGGTACTACTTATAAGAAGGTACTTTAACCCAAGCAGTTAGTCGGTGGTAAACTAAAGTATCTTACCTGCGTGGGTACGGCCATTTACATTTTCAACTGCTAAAAGGTAACCAATAAAAACCTGCTATCTATTAGCCTACTGGTCCACTAACCGTACATTTGCCCAGTAAAGTTTTGAAATAAGTAAGCTGCCCCCACTATTACTCACTGTTCATTTCTGTTTGTTATTTAAATGCCCCTCGTCACCAACGCATTTCCTGCCCTTGACAACATTCGACGTAAATCAACAACCCGAAGTCTCAGATAGTTGCTCGACTTCGATCTTCGATACCAAAACATAACAAATCAGATACCATTTTACCCTACATATACCAGAAAATCACCTAGTTTTCAGCCAACATGCCTAAGAATAAGGGAAAGGTGCGTGCAATATTCTGACGTCGACCCCGCCACAAGTCTTAAATTTCTATCCTTTTTCTTCTTTTGTGTGTGGTCAGCTCGTGAACTCGATCCCGTCCAAAGACAACAATTACCCTAAAACCAGCGTCCAACTAGACATGGCTTGAGGAAATTTATGAGATTTTGTGTCTGCTGGGCTTATCAAAGAAAAACGGCAAATCAAGCCATTTTACAAGCCGATTACAGTTACAACACTTATACCCCTCATTATATTGTCGCGAGTCGCAATATCAAATATTCGATGAAACTAATATATCTTCAATAGGGAGGTAAGAATCGTCGTCGTGGAAAGAACGAGAACGACAACGAGAAGCGCGAGTTAACCTTCAAGGAGGAGGGACAAGGTACGAATATCTAAACCCCCATCACGACTTATATTCCTATCGCGTACCAAGCCCTGCGATAAAAGAAAAAAAAGGTAGATTCTAACAAATGTAAAACAGAATACGCCCAGGTAGTCAAGATGCTTGGCAACGGTCGTCTCGAGGCGCAGTGCTTTGACGGCGCAAAGCGACTGGCACATATCCGTGGCAAACTACGCAAGAAGGTCTGGATCAACAACGGTGACATCATCCTGCTCTCCCTACGAGACTACCAGGACGAGAAAGGCGACGTCATCCTCAAGTACTCAGCGGATGAGGCTCGTTCCCTCAAGGCCTATGGCGAACTACCCGAGAGCGCCAAGATCAACGAGACAGATACCTACGGTCCCAACGACGAGGGCGAGTGCGGCTTCGAGTTCGACGAGGACCGCGATTCCGAATCCGAGGAAGCAGGTGCTGGCGGCAAGGAGGTCGACATCGACGACATCTAGTTCTCCCTTCCTACTTGGATGGGCAAGTATCACTCACCTGGTCTTCTCGTTCCGCTACGCCCTACAACCTATCTCATAGCAACTTCAAGACCAGAGGAAAAGCCTGTCTTCTCTCTCAAATCCGGATCGTACTTACTACCATGTGGTCTGGGTTCCACGACAGTCGGGTGGTGCGGCTTTGATGGCAAGCAAGCGGCAGGGTACATGGTGGGAGAGACGTCATGGCCCTTTGCCGTTTGGCAGCTTAGATACGACGACTATTTTTTTTTTCGCTACTACGGATATTATTTTCCCTTTTTGTAGTCTATTTCTCGGTGGTTTTAGTATTGATGAAGACGGGAAGGATGATTGGAGAATCATGGCATAATCATAATGAACCTGCGCCGCGAGACATGGCTTCTAATACGAAGTCTGTTTGTTGCCAGCGTCCAATACATATGCCTCTTTTCTCAATATGCTGTACACTTAGGGACTTATTCGTGACACGGATGCAATTATTTGATTTGATGCTCATTTGTATGATTCTTAGTTAACTGAGGCTATCAATTCTCTAATTCTTTCTATTCCAAAACTATACCAAGCTCAGAGCTCCAAGTCAATAGTTGATAAGCAATCAACCCCAACTACCTGGACCTGTCGACGTACTCGTGCCCATATTCTATATCCCCATTCTGCGTGAAGGCTCTTTGGACGTCGACAACAGGCCTCAACCCCCTATGAATTTTGCTCCCCCAATCCGCTAAGCGATATACCGCCACCTTATTTACTCCGCCTTCACTTGGATGTAGTAGTCGGTTTCGCTATACCTAGTGAACAGAATACCATCCTCCTTTCCGCCTTGCATGCTTGGTTTTAGTGGTACATATTTGTTTGCATATAAATAGCTCTCAAGGCTTTGCTCTTTTCTTAAAATAGAGGAACGGCTAGTTACCTTAGGTAGGTAGTTAGGTCCGTCTAGTTATCTCGCAACCTATTTGGTAACTAACGGGAGAGGCTCCGCTACTTATAGAATCTTCATCTTCTGGGTTGCCTCACTGACTGCGACCAAGCAGACGTTCCTGCTTCCATTCTCTTTCGATCGCTTTCGGGCTACATACTCATAAGCTAGCCTATCCCATGATAAGTGGATAACTTCTGCTTTCTTCTGGATGAATCCTGTGAATATGGCTCTACCACTCATCATCACTCTTCTCATCATCTTCACAGCTGTTAGTCTCGAAGCACTAGTCTGGGTTGAGATAAATAGGAACTTACCGCTATCACGGACTCTTTCCTTCCGCTTCTGCAATGCCGCAGCCAAAGCATCGGCCATTCCACCCCCGGGTCCTCCGGGGGAAATGCCTGCGGGTGGCAGTCCACTACCGTGCGGACCCGTATCTGCCCCTCCCCCAACTGTAGCCGCGCTCCTATCTCTGATTTGAGTCCTGTCCACTTTTTTGAGCGCTCCAATTCCACCGGCCTTTTGAATGCTTTCAAGCATTGCAGAGCGCCCAGGTTCCGCGGACGCGGCGACGGCTGCAGCTGGAACTCCAGGTGGAACTCCAGACGAATAGCCCGAGTCGCGATTGGGAGGCGGTAGCGGCGGTGCTGCTGGTATTCCAACTCCGGGTGGTGGAGGAGGTGGTGGTGGTGGAGGAATTCCTGCGACTCCGGAGGGAAGAGGAGGCGGCGGTGGTGGAGGAGGTGCACCAGGACCAGAGCCAGCACCAGGCAGTGGTGGAGGTGGCGGTGGTGCCGATGACTGAGGTAAAGGGGGTGGAGCCGGTGCGCTCGGGGGTAGAGCTGGCGGCTGAGGTGTGCTCCGCGGAGGAGGCGCGGGGGTTGGTCGAGACGCGGCAGGGGGTGGAGGTGGTGCCGGTGGCGGCGCTGCTGCACTCGGACTAGGCACTTTTGGTGGAAGACTTGGAGGGAGTGGTGGTGGTGCAGACTGAGGCTGCTCCCTTGGCGGTGGAGGCACCGGACCTCTGGCCGGTGGTGGAGGCGCGTGATTTTGCTTCTGGCCAGTAAAAGTAGGGGGTACGCTAAATTTGTGTCCCGCAGATATCTCTTCGTTGTCTTCTATCGGGGTCTTTGGCGGTCTTGGGGGAGGTGCTGGTCCGGGTGGAGCTCGGGATGCGCTCTCGGTATGAGCATACTTACCAGCATCTGGTAGCGGAGGAGGGGCATTGAACCGTGGCCGAGGTGGTACTGGTTCTTCTGGTGGTGTTGGCTCTCTATGCACAAGCTCTATCTTACCGGACCTACGAGGCGCAGGAGGGGGCGGGGGAGCACCACGACGCGAGCCTGACGATGTTATACTTTCCGACACTGAGCGGCCTCCTCCGGCAGGAGGAGGCGGGGGAGGAGGGGGTAGGCGACCGTGACCGTATGCATTATACCCGTTAGAAGTCGAGTTACTGGCTGGCGGGGGAGGCGGCGGTGGTGGTGCCGGTGTAGAACGTGATGTCCCATTTTCGGATATTCCAGTGCCCTGCTCCTTCAAGAATTCGACGATAAAGTCTTGGTTTTCCCTGATAAACTCATCTGTGAGGCCCTGCTCCGACAGGAAATTTCCAAAATTATCTCGCCAGTTAGGATCATATGCCTCCAGCTTAGCAAATTTGGAGGCTGGCTTATGGAAACCATTAACGCTTCCCGAAGAGACTCTGCCATGGGAGTGAGAAGGTGGGACGCTACTTCGAGGTGACTCGGGCGGTGTAGGTGCTGAGGCGTGCCTATGTCCCCCAAATATGCTCCCGAAGAACCCAGTCTTGGCCGGTTGTTGCGTTGCTCCACCGAAAGGAGTATTTCTTGTAGCCTTCGAGGCGTTCTTCTCCCTATCGTCCATCTTCTTTTTAAATTGTTTCGCTTCCTTCTCGTCGACAAAAGATAAACCTGCTAAGCAGTCTTCGAGCTCGAAGGTATGGAAGAAAGTTCGGTCCTGGTTGTAAGACCAGTTCTCAAATATTTCCTGATCCCATATTACACCCCGACCGGCGGGCTACAAATTGTTAGAAATTAAGAAGTACATGACTGAAGACCGAACAAGGACTCACAGATACGTCAACCAGCTTTAACCAGTACGTATGTCCTACCAGGTCGTTGGAGAGGACGATGGCGCCCTGTAGGCCGGTGTAGGTCCATTTTGAAGTATTCGGGTATGCGACGTACAATCTCGCGACAGCTACGGCGTGGATCTTGTTGGTATGTTTCGGTACTACTCGCCGAACGGTCTCCTTATCCTCCTCGCTGAGGATGGACGGCATGGTGACAGTTGTAACGAGGTCGTGTGATGTAAGGGGGATAGGGGAGAGAAGGGGGAGATCATGGGAAGTCGGTGACTATCTCCAACCTTCCCCAAGCTAGTGTAGAATTACCTAGTAAATATTACTATGCAATCATTTGAATTGGCATATGTAATTGGAATAGAATGTAGTATATGATTCAAGGCTGCGTATCTGCGCCTTGTTGGATGCGTAACATGAAGCGTGCGCGGCTACCCGTAGGATTGCACCGGAAGTTGGCGTCAAGATGCGGTCGGTAGGCGGTTACGCAAGTTCGGAGTGCTAAGAAGCAGTTGGTTGGTTACGTTGGAAATGGAAAAGAGGCGATTGGGAGGCAACCAAATTTCAGAGGCAGAGGCAGATGCAGATGCAGCTGATCCAGCTTGGAAAAGAGGGAATATTGGTTGTAATTTGTATGTACGGGCTTAGTGGCCAAATAGAGGAATAGAGGATGGAAAGAGAAAAAGTTGTTTAATTCATTTATTTCGTGAGTGACATTGTCCTCTTATTGTTGTAGTAATTTCGGAATAGTGTTTCGTGACAATGTACATGAAGTGACCAAGGATAGATGTACAGTATCTGCACGAAACCCGCCCGACATCATCAAGCGTTGTCTGACTAATATTTAAGAACCTTGACCAATAGAGCGGGTTCTCGAATGTAGTCGAAAAATGAAACAGCCACATTTAGGCACAGCCGCAGCAGTTCGATAGGTAATGTCTCTTAGGCGCCACCTTTCCGGAATGCCCCGCCAAAACGTTCGAGTTGCTCATCTTAATTTCATTCACTTCGGATAAAGCGGTCAATCGAATTCGAAGCTCGGTGACGGATAGATAATGATACCGAATACCTAACCATGCTACATGGATGCGGTCATTCTATTTACATGCACCTAACTGAGGACGAAAAGAACATTGATTATTTGGAGAGGTATGATCAGATTAACATGTACGAAGTACCGATCTTGAATAGTGGTCAAGACTAATAACAAGTATTACAATATTTATACCTTCTTGTTATCATAATACTTATCATTACGGATCTGTACATACGGCGTATTCCTTCGAATGGTCTCAATATCTAAGAACCCTCTTCCAGTTTAATATCATTACATCCCGCCCATGGATCGCTCCGAGCCATAGCCAAGTCTATTTGTTCAGCTCCTTAGCCTTCGCTTGCCTTTCCTCCTTAGTCCCCTCTTGCTCTGGCATACTTTGAGGGACGACAGGACCTGGGTTGGCCTTGTGGGCTGCGAAAAGCTTAGCGCTTCGAGTCTGAGCTGCCTCACTAGTAGAGTTCGACTGAGAGTCGCTGTCAATCTTGCCGGTCTGCTTATATTATTCGATCAGTCAATATGTCACTTATTATTATGGGATGGTATAAGTTGTACCTGGAATGTCTCAGGCATTTTGGTTTATATCGAGAGCTTTAGTATTCTTCGGTTGGGTTGGTATTGAGTATATTATAGATGGTTGTAACTATATAGTAATAAGAATAAGAATAAGAATCTGAAGAGGGTAGAGCCTTCTTTCGGATCTGGAATCGCTTTTATACTACCTACTTAGACAACTTAGGCATTCCTAAGTTCTTGGTGGTGTAACCGTCTTTCGATCGAGATGACGTACTTCGTACTTAGACTTTCTATGTAGAACTTAATGGCCCGCAATTGCCCGTGACCCGGCGTCACAACGGCGGCAGGTGATTCGCAACCCCGGATTTGCTAAAGCGCGACTGCAGGTGGCGTGCCTACCTTAGATGCCTGATTGATTAAATGAATAATCCAAATATTTAGCTCCAAATTCTATGATGCCTACTATGTAAACTTGCTACTAGACTTGTTACTAGACTTGCTATTCGACCAGTTCTACACCAATATACGCGGACACTTACGTACCACATCCTTCTCATTGACATCGACGCACGTAATAGAACGATGCCGTATGCGAATATGCATGAGGTCCCTTGAATCCCATCCGTCGCGCTTCTCCCCTTCCATCTAAGGCGTGCCCCGCATGTCTGCGAATAATGCTCCTCAACCGGTGAAGCTCTCACTACCTCTTGTATGATTCTCTGGCCTTTATTATCGCAATTAATATTTTGCTTAATTAATTTTATTTGAAATAGGAATACCAACAGCACCTCTTCCAAGAGCTCCGCGCCGAAGATGAACTCGTCGTTATTGCCAAAGGCCTCGGCCTTATGCGCCTCGTCACCAATTTGCTACACAGCTACGACGCCGCTGGAAATAATCTGATAATAGTCGTAGGCGCCGAAGAGAGGGAAAATGCCTGGATTGGAGAGGCTCTCGCCGAGTCTGCTGCTATCAGCATGGCTCCTAAGGCTAGAGGTCTAACCGTAGTAAATACCGACTTCACCAGCGTCGCAGCCAGGGAGAAGATGTACGCGAAAGGCGGCATCTACAGCATTACCTCTCGAATCCTAGTTGTCGACCTATTAACGAGTCTCCTCGACCCTGGAATCATCACTGGCCTAATTGTCTTACATGCGGATAAAGTGATAGCTACGTCCCTCGAGGCTTTCATTCTCCGTGTATACCGTCAAAAGAATAAGAACGGGTTTCTAAAAGCATTCTCCGATAACCCGGATCCCTTCACGGTCGGCTTTTCACCACTAGCCACGATGATGAGGAATTTATTCCTCCGGAAGACATCGCTATGGCCTCGATTCCATATGACAGTTGCGAGTTCCCTTGAGGGCAAGAAGAAAGCAGAGGTTATTGAACTTGAAATACCCATGACAGACGCTATGCGGGACATCCAAACGGCGATCATGGAGTGCGTCGAGGTCAGTATCCACGAACTAAAGAAGGGTAACTCGGGATTAGAGATGGACGATTGGAATCTTGACAGCGCGTTGCTGAAGAATTTCGACGTTATGGTTAGGCGGCAATTGGATCCGAACTGGCACAGAGTTAGCTGGAAAACGAAGCAGATAGTTAGCGATCTAACAGTGCTTCGCGGTCTACTGCACTCGGTCCTCGCTCTTGATTGTGTGTCTTTCCTACAGCATCTTGATACCATCCATGCTGCTCATTCCCCTCAGCCCGGATCTACAAGGCAAACTCAGTCTCCGTGGTTATTCCTTGATGCTGCACATACCATCTTCGAAACCGCCAAGCGGAGAGTATATGCTAGCAATGCGAAAGCCAACGCGAAATCGTCAATTGACTCTCTCCGCCCAGTGCTAGAGGAGCAACCGAAGTGGGCTCTACTCGCCGAAATTCTAGAGGAGATTGACAGGGACCTCTACTTCGAACCTCCGATGAGAGATGACTCTAATGGAACTATCCTCATCATGTGTTCTGATGAGGCGACGACCCGCCAGCTCCGAGATTATCTTCAGATGATGCACGTTGAGCCGAAGACCGAGCATGACACAAAACAGAACAAGGAGGAGCATAAACCTTCTGCTGCGTTTATGATGCGGAGAAGACTTCGAGGCTATTTAAATTGGAAGAAAGAATTCGCGCAAGTCAGCAATGCCTTATTTACTGAAAACCAAAAAGCTCTTGAGGGAGCTGTCGATCCACGGATAGCCCAGGGTGCCTACAAAGGAAGGGCACCAGTTAACAAGAGACGCCGAGTGCGTGGCGGCGGCAGTGTGGGCACAGCACCCGGTAGGACAGCAAACGGAAGTGTAGCGCAGTACTTCGAGAAGCCCAACGAAGTTGCTGACCTCATGGACGAGATTCGTATTACAGGGGAAGAAGCAAATCAAAAGGCAGATATCATAGCTGATCCGCTAGAGGATATGGATGATTACTTTGAGCTTTACGAAATGCAGGATCTTGTCGTAGTGCACGCATACGACGGCGATCAGGACGAGCATATTCTCGAAGAGGTCAAGCCTCGATACATAATCATGTACGAACCAGACGCCGCATTCATACGCCGGATCGAAGTTTATCGATCATCACATAACGATAGGAACGTTAGAGTGTATTTTATGTTTTACGGCCAGTCGGTCGAGGAGCAACGCTATCTTGCTACAGTCCGACGAGAGAAAGATTCGTTCACTAGACTCATCAAAGAACGCGCCAGCATGTCTGTCGTTATGACGGTTGATTCGCAGGGTGTCGAAGATCCGCAGGAGGCGTTCTTAAGGACAGTCAATACTCGAATAGCCGGTGGGGGTCGGTTGGCAGCCACAGCGGAACCTCCAAGGGTGGTTGTTGATGTCCGAGAATTCCGCTCATCGCTCCCGTCCCTTCTTCATGGGCGTAGCATGGTAATCGTGCCCTGCATGCTCACAGTCGGCGACTATATTCTCTCGCCAACTATATGTGTCGAACGTAAGTCCATTAGCGATTTAATCAGCTCGTTCAAAGACGGACGGCTCTACAGCCAAGCTGAGGCAATGTTTCAGCACTACAAAAACCCGATGCTATTAATCGAGTTCGACCAGAACAAATCGTTCACGCTTGAGCCATTCGCAGATTTTTCGGGCAACCTGAAGTCGGTTAACCCCAACGATGTACCGTCGGATCTTCAGTCCAAAATCGTGCTTCTTACTCTCGCGTTCCCAAGACTGAGAATCATCTGGAGTAGTAGCCCATATCAAACCGCCGAGATATTTGAGGGCTTGAAGACGCAGCAAGAAGAACCGGACCCCGTAGCAGCGGTCCGGGCAGGTTTAGATAAAGACATGAAAGCAGAGGATCAAGTGTTTAATCTCGAGCCACACGAGATGCTGGGAGTGGTGCCAGGCATCAACCCGAAGAACTTGAAGAACCTGACCCTAGAAGTAGAGAATGTTCGCGAAGTAGCCAATATGACTGAGGCCGAACTTAACCCACTAATCGGGAAAGAAGCCGCAAGACAGGTATACGGTTTCTTTAACCGGAATTTAATTGATCTAGATGATTGAGGCCATAAATCTATAATAATCCATCTAGCATCTAGCACATTATAATCAAAATATTTTGAATGTCACGGAGTGTAATGGTGATTTGAAATGTCTATTATTTTTCTATTTGTGAGGATGTTGTGACAATTCCATCACTCCGTCTCCGTGTCGAAGTACAGTACTCAAGAAAATAGAAAATAGGGGGTATCGTAATGCTCAATCGATCGTGATGGCTCTTGAAAGCCCCGTCTCTCGTTAACCAACTCTCCGCTCATCATCATCGTCCAACCAGCCCATATGAAACGAAAAGAAACCAGTTACTCGAATTCAATTTCCTGCTCCCTCCCTCTCCACTTTAGCGAATTACCACTCCCTCTAGATGCGGCTCGTAGTGGTGGCATGGCGACGTCGGCCCCAGCCGCCGCCTGTACTACGCCGGTGGCCGCGGCAGTAGCCGCAGGTCAGGAAGCTGATGATGATGCCGAAGAAGGACACGATGCCGTTGATGATGGCTACGAGGATGTTACCGATACCCGACACGATGGCCATGATGACGTTTCCGATGGTGCGGAAGATGGATTGAACCTGTCGTTGCGCTTGTTAGTCTATCTGTAGTTGTGGATAGAGTGTTAGTTGTGGCAAGGCGGAACTTACGCAAGATACTACGGCACCCATGTTGACGGTTTAGGTTGATTTGATAGGTTGGGTATAGTTTTAGGTACCTGAGGTATAATTGTTCTCAAGACTGTTGTAGTGTGTGGATATAGTAAAGCGTAGAGTTTGCGCTTGCTGTTTTTCTGGGTATTGGAAATGTTCTAGATTATAAGTTATGAACTTAGTTGCGGTTGTGAAAGAGGGAGTGACGACTTATATACGAACTAGGTCACATTATACATACCTACGTATGGGCAGAGCATCATGCCGTGGCCAAGGAAAACCTGGGCATCGGATTTCTCGAAGAGACCGCAGCAATGCTAGGTCATAGAGTTGCAGGTAAGCTCCAATGAGATCATTCTTTTAAAGCCTGCGTTCATATCAACAGCATATCAACAGCATATTAAAGGCGGCTAATCGCCATAATGTTACAGGGGCATATATTGGGTCACGGCACGATAGCTAAGGCGTACATATGTGATTCTATGTATGTATTCAGATCCTTGTAGATCCCCAATAATAATTACGTGCATAGAAAAACCCATCTTTGACAGATTTGGTCCTCGTGGGTTGATTTGTATAAAGAAGTTGACGTCACAACGACATTATATCATTGTATGAGGGAGGGATAGCCCCGCTCGCCGTCATCGTGATCTAAACTTTAGAAAAAGGGGTCTTCTTCTAGATTAGTGTATTCGGTGCCGTCCAATTTCGCCTACGCTGCGAATCACAACCGCGCCGGTGTAAATGGTCCGACAAGAATTGAATGAAGCCTCGAGGATTCGACAGACAAACGGTGGGCAAAAATGATGCTGTCATAGATATGTGGCTTGCTTTTAATATCCTTCCTAAAGAGGAAATAAGAGCGCCACATATGCGGGGCTAATATCGTCGATTGAGGCTTGACGTGCCTGCGTGCTCGGTTTTATCAAGTGCCCAAAGCCAAAAACCTGTTTGTTTTCTTAGAAGGGAATGGTTTGACACGCGGGATGACGTACTTTTGGTAAGATGCGGCTAGAACCCTTGCTTGGATCTTTTCCAGCCCTTGACCGATAAGCGGGAATACTGGCCATTTCATGAACAATGTAGGCTTACAATGATTATGGTTGAGATGAAGATGTATTAGAGAGGTTCCTCGAGGCATCTGCAAGATGCTAGCTCTAATAATACATGTAGATACGTATGTGGGGCTAATGTGGGTCCTTATCTATGATAAACAAGCTGAATTAGCTGCTCCCTCCAGCGTCGTCATCGTATTAGTGTATATGTATACCTAGGAAATGTAGGAAGGAGCAATAATAATAAGGGCATATATAAGATTTCCACCACTTAAAAAGTGGAGTAGTAGAATCTTTACCAATACAACATTCTACCCCTAATATTTCAGAAACAAAGCGGAACTATGTATGTGAATTCTAGATTTACTAAATCTGCAGGCTAGAGTTGATAACAGGCTTGATCCTATCCCATGCCACTTTTAGTCTAACGTAGAACACGCCACAATATTACCTAGGTGCTATGAAAAATATATATGACGGAGCCCCCCAATGCTGCACTGTTTTTCTCCTTTTCCTCTTATCCATGCTTTGCCGCGCAGGTAGCTTCACCCCCCATCTCTGCGGGGAGGTCGGGCAAGTCGCTGCCTCCCATCAGGGCGCGTTCTCCCGCTCTGATAGGATGAAACTGAGTTGCAGGTAAAACCCTCCTCCTTTCATGCAGACGAGCAAACTCGCATCCCGCCGACCGCGGTTATTGGTTCACCTTACAGCCGCAGTTGATGCGCCCCTCGATCGACAATTTATTGTCTCGAGGTAGGCCGCTCGCTTGCCGGCTATGCCCATGCCATTGTTTGACGTGACGATGAGACTAATACCGGTCGAGTAATTTAAACATTGCTCTCGGTATCTTCGACTCGCTCACTCGCCATGGCTAAGGCTTCGAACATCTACATACCGATTACTTCCTCCGTCACCTATCCGCGCTAGATGAGCAAATCCCGGTTGTACACGACACCTTCAATCGAGACGGACAGAGGTTTCTCGAAGTTGTGTGTGCGCTGCTGCTGATGACGATACGATCCATCGTGACGAAAGCTCGAGCCTGCGTGTGCGAATTTCCGTCCACGAACCTTCCCGGTCGAACCCCCCGGGTTCTCGGTAGAAGACTCGTTCTTGATCGACTTTCCCCGCCGACTCGCCTACCGCGATGTAGTCCGCCGCCTCGCCGGCCCCCTTTCGATTGATGCTTTTGACCATCTCTTGGAGACGTTGCCGTGTCCCGGCGAATGCCGTCGCGTGGAGGGTAAAGAGAAAGGGTACGGTGTGGCCTTTTGGTTTTTACGGGTGTTCACTGCTTTGGGGAAGTATGGCAGCGCAAGCCTGGTCCCAGTCCTATTTCCACATGAACCGTTTGATGCGTCTTAGCCAGTGTGGACGAACTATATTGTTATATCGCAATCACGAGTATACGTCCCGCGCGGATGCTGGACGGTATTAGGTCGATAATCATCCAACGGACCTTCACAACATCCAGCACTTTACTTCCTTTGTATACCATTCTCAGGCCATCTTAAAGCATACGGAAGGCTTCTTTGGCATGTGCCATTAGCACTCGAGGTCAAAACATACATGGGTCCAAGTTAGTTTCCTTACGGACATCGCGTCCGACAAGACACCCATTCTCACGATCGAAATATATCCTCATGTGTTACAATTACGCCAGGGAGCAATTCAATATACACTTCCTATGCAATGCCCGGCCGTCAATCTACCTATGGAATGCTTGGAAGTATCGCTATGGGGACTGAAGGATCTCGGAACGTTGCCATACTTATCGTTATTTCTCACATATTAGTGTAGAGAAAATAAATCTGGTTTTCCAAATATCGTGCTTGACAGTTCGCCATTATTGAAATAATAGTTTTACTAAGATGAGTTACTGGTCTGAGTTACTGGTCTTAGACAACCGTGGTCTTGTCCAAGTCGCTTATTTTATCTGACAGTCTTACAGTAGCTGTACGAAATGCGTATATTGCAATGGGTTGATCTAAACTGAAGGTGAAGTTAAAATGGATATATTAGTTCCACGGCTAGAAAATAGACTAGAAAATAGACTACAATAGTCCTATCGTAAAACATAAACCCGAGTATATAGAAAACGCTGAAAGCATGCATGGAACGCAAGTATAATAGGCCGTATTAACAATTGTTCTAAATCACAATAAGGACGTACTTGAGTAGTCCAGTGGTTCTTGGGGAACTCCAAGCTGCTTCGCCAAATTCAGGGCGTATTAAGAGAACTAGAAGTTCTTCCTTCCCGGCACGGTTTTGCAAGTTTCTTAACCAAGCCAGCTAGTTTAGAAAGTGCCTCGGGCACCACTCTTCTCATCGATATCGCGGTACCGTTCACGCTCCTTCCGGTCCTTCAATAAACAGGCGATAGACATAATTAGTACGACATCGATACCGACCATACCAAACATAGCCGTGAAAATGTTATCCACGAACGTGTTTCCGAACGAGTTTAAAGGAGCAGCGCATCCTCGCATAAGGGCGGCGGCGGCGGGACTAGGGCAAGTCGCATCGGTAATGAAAGCAGGGGAAGAGCTGTTGTTGAAGCCGCAGCAAGAGAACTGGGAGCAGGGTTAGCCTAATCTATCAAGTGAGAAAACGTAGCTATGGTTACTAACAGCCGTCTGCATGAGGTCTTGTACTTGAGGTGGTTGCGAAAGCCAGATTTCGAGGAATGCTTCCTTCATCCTCAAGGTGAGGATCCATAGATCCACGCCGATAGACATGGTGAAAACGGCATCGACCACGATCATGTAGACAGCTAGCTTCAACCAACCCCTGCTATTCGTTGCCAACGCTGGGAGTGTAACTAAGAAGGTAACAAAAACGAAGACAGCGTTGACGATCCCAGCTGTAAAAGGAAATCTTTGGTATAGTAAGTCTCGAGCTGCTTCGTTTCCTTCCGTTGGCGTATCGAAGCACGTTTGCTGGACGATGACAGAGAAACCCAACATGATAGCCCCCATGGCCACGAACAATACGTCCATGGTCACGAAGGTCGCAAGCACCTTGTTCACCATCTTGATCTATTGCGAAGCGGTTGTCCCTAAATTTTTAGTTGTGGAAATACACGGCTAGTATTCCCAGTCTCTTAGTACACAAAGGTACTTCCTCCTTCTATCCCCCCCAATACGCGTGATAGTTTTTTTCGAAGTGCTATTGACGACCGGCGTCTCGTATAGTAAATTTGGCTGTCGTAGGCGACGAACGAGTGTGTGGTAAAAAATAGCGAAAGAATGTAATATCAAAAGTCGGCTTAGAGCGGTAGCGCGACAGCACTTACACCTTGACCAGCAATCCGAAAAAGGAGAAAAGAAGATAGCGAAGCGAAAGTAGCAATTATGAAAAAAGGAGCAAAGTGAAAATAATACGATGCATAGCACGGACTATTGGAGAATAGAAGGGGACTTAAGCGCCGGGCTTGTTGAAAACTAAACTAAAACGCTACCGCTTTTCTTCCTCGGATGGCTCCGAAATGGGAGAAACGTGCGAAGCCAAGCGGCAGGCCAAGGGGATTAAGAATGAGATACGACGAGAAAAGCCACGCAACGGCCTGCCCAAATTAACAAAAAGAATGAACAAAAATACCATGCCACCAGGGCTCCGCCTACTATGAGTTTAGAAAGAAGGGAAATTAGAAAGCTTGGAAGTAAAGGTGATGATGTTTGACTCTCACGCTTGGTGTTTGAGATTTGTATAGGGTAGAAGGCGAACAGGGGATAGCCCTGTGTCAGAAGCTGGAGCACGTACCAGAATATGGCTCGTGTTAAGAATTACATACAACCTGTCACAAGATGAAATCGACTGCGGCCCAATTAGAAGAGAGATTTCGTAAACACCAAACTGACTAAGGAGAGAATCGAATGATACCGGTCTGAGGCTCTGACAATATCCCGGCATGAACTTATACGCCAAGATATGTATACGTACACACACACACACACACACACACACACACACACACACACACACACACTTAATGATCGCTTCTACGATATACCTACCTGTTCTTCAGGTTCGTCAAAACTTGCCTTCGAGATCCTAAAATACCTTATTGTTGCTCTCGAGAAACGTCCTGTCCAAAGCCAAGCTTGAGTGTCTTGTGAGCGACATCAGTGTTTATCTCCAAGTCTTAAACTATCTCTAATGTTCGCCTCTTATTCGAAACCTGGAGATTCCCCCGTGGTATATACTCATACAAGACGGAGGAATATAGAATATGATTCGAAGGCCCTTAGAAGATCCATGCGTCTCGAGTTGATGATGCAGCTTTGCCGCACACCCTGTTGCACATCATCGGCATGTAACCCATAAATTTCGATCAGATGCTGAGGATCTTCAAACATCAACTAGCCATGATTCGCAAGTTAAAATAGAATCGTCTAGACGGCATGTGGCAGCTTCTAGTCACGGCTCGTCTGGCGATCTTGGTAGGTAAGGGAAAGGCGATATTAAGATAGATTAGTTCCTCACACTAGAGAAACACGCCGCGATCCTTCTCGACTCGAACCCCTCTCTATAAATCTATCTCTTACCTACTACTAACGCGCCTCTACCATTAATCAAGGGAACGCCTACAAAATTCCTTAGGTGATGACGCGAGACACTGACTCGGATAGGGCGCAGTTTTCTCATATGATCATCCAACTTGTACATAGTGCTCCGACACCAACGGCGCCGCTATCGTGTTGTCTGTCCGGTCTTGCAGGCCGCAAGGCTTTCTCTATTGCCTTCCATTTCACCATCGTGAAGAAAAATGCAGTACGCGTTGCCACTACAGAACCGCAATCTGGAAGGCAAGCGGAGCGGAGATTGGCTACCTGCGAATGGTTGCGACGGCAACTAGCATGCCGGAGGGGGTTAGGAATGCCATCAGCCACCAGCCATGAGCGGGAGCGGGAGTGGGAGTGAGCGATGACTCTCGGAAGGCACTCGATGCAACCCCATCCCGAAAACTCGGTACCTCGTACGTAAAGTACTGCATTAGGCGTAAGACCCTAGGTATGCAACCGGCTAAGACATTGGGCTCCCTGTGTCTCTAATCGAGCAAGAAAAAGGCCGCGCGGGTAATTACAAGCATGCCGTGGTATTCCGGTGACGATATTCTGATGTCACTAAGGTGGTGCTAGGCCATATTGCCGTGACTTCTGCTTCCCGCAGCAGCCAGCAGCGCCGTTCCAGACTTTTGATGATGGGCGATCCTTCATTGTGACTTCTCCCGGTGCCGTGGTTCACACCCCTCGACTATCAGGCGAGACACCAGAGTCAGGGTGCCATTCAGATGTGAAGACACAACCAATTGGTATTCATGATGCGTCTTGGTGGCGCAGAGAATTGTCACTTATCGAATTGCCACAGCGCTTACAGACAGCAGTATTGAATGCGATAGATTACAACCAGAGCCTCTTCGCCATAAGTCTTTCTAACTGTTTTTCTAACATCGGGATAGGTAACGAAGTATATTCCCTAGATTTGCTGGCTCTTCATGGCTGTCCGCTAAGTAGCCTAGAGCGGTATGCCTTCTAGGAAAACTGTAGTCGTCGACATTGCCTTTATCCTCTCTATCCGTCTACTAATCGTAAAGAGGTTTGTTGAATTTACAGACGTTGGTTAACTCGAGTTGATAAATTTTGATCTTCATTTGATATCGCATAATACAGACTGTAGCAATCTTAACCACCAAGTCAAAAGTTCCTACGGACAAATTCCATCCAAGATTGTAGCCCCCGATCGCATCGATCACATACATAGTAGTTCTGGGGTCGCGTTGTAGATCGTATTTCTTGCGAATGGCGTTGCTAGAATATTAGTGATTTCCCCTTTCGGACTGTTTTTAACTACGGTCCGAGTCCCAATCTACCACTGGGCACTTTTACAATGAACGGAGTATTACGTCGTTAGGCTTGGTACGCAGCAGGCTACATAGCCTACTACTATGTAGGTAGCTCTGATCGTTCGTTACTACGCGACCTGGAAGACACACAAGATAGTATGAAGCCAAGCAAGGCATGGCAAGGGTAAGACAACGCAGATCGGCCTTCTCCAATTTCTCATCAATCCTACGAAGCCACGCTGCGTGCAAGGAGCTTTGAACCCCCAACCTCTCAAGAATATGGAGTGGCTTAATAAGTGGAACGATGATTTGCTTGGACCCTAGCACAACTTGACAAGGCCCTGGCAGTCCTGGGCAGGCAAAAAGATCGTGCCGAACCGCACAAAAAGGAAAAGTCGTTTACATACTACCCGCGGGGCCGTCATGATCAATCTGGATGCCTCGTGGGAGAAGAGATTGGCGCTTTTCCATTTCTTGATCGGGAACAGCTATCAGTTCTCTAAACTGACGACATCTCATCTTAGTCCTTCTCCTGTCGATATATACCTCTATAGTCGTAAGTGAATACGGATGGATATTAGCTACATTCTGGAGAGCTTGGAACGTACCAGTCCCATCAGCATAACATACATACCTCTACGTACTTAGCAGTCTCTCATCTCGATAAACCCGAATTAAACGCCCGTCCTTTTGAATGGTCCGCATGTAATGGTACCTTTTCTTCCCGACACTAGGTACTACGGATTTTTCCTTCTACTTCTCTCACTCCAGGGTCTGCTGCTCTATCGCCCATTGAATGGATAGAACCAATTCAAGACGTATCATTACCCCCGCTTTTTCCATCTCAACGTTACGGCCCTAATGTTGAAGCTCCATAACGGGGCACATGGTGCAATCGCGTTATTAGAGACTAGCGAGGATGTTCGCGTTCTCAGCGGACCCCTACGAGATGACCTCCCAGATGACCTCCTAAGCCTCCCATTCACGTAGCGAGTCTGGGAGTAAACGGTCCTACAATGCCTACGATGTAGGACCTTACATTGTCCTTACATTGTGCTGAAGAGTCATCCCATGGGTGTAAACCCAGATGTTAGGCATCCACCTCTAAATGAGTAAAACGAATGGCATTTCATCCTCGGTGTCTTTGGTGCATATCCGAGGGCAATTAAGTCTGTGCAAGACATACATACAATGCTTGGATGCTGGATGCTGGATGCATCGGTATAACATCAAGTCAGGCTGGTACGCTATAAGAGATGAACCAATCATAGCAACCCCGGCTTTAAGAGCGATACTCTCCGAGGGCGTCTTTTATTGCTTATCTGGTTACGTCGACGGCTTTGTTTCTTCTTCCTTGTCTTATCATTAGGAACGTTTTTAAAGAATGGAATTCAATTCTAAAGATAGCCTTGACGGCATTTTGAATCGAAACATCGAAACATCGAAACATGAAGACTTTACATACCTTACCTATCTAGACAGCTGCTAACGTACGGACTTAATCAAGATGAAAACGTCAAGACCATCCCATCCACTACCAACGTGCTGGATTGGATTCCCGATATGGTCAACTCCAAAATGGTCGAACGGCCTTCATTTCATTGGAACGGAGGCAAGATGCGACTTTGAACCCCTGCTCGCCCCTCATGCATGGGGGAGTGTGCCCGCATTGTTTCCTACAAGCGAACCATCCATCAGATCCGTGAGGCGCTGCACCGTGCGAGTCTCAGAACGATGAGAGTGGAGAGCTTGCCAGGTGGCAGAGTTGAACATGTACACTACAAGACAGCTGCGTGAGCTATTCTCAAAGTATGTGAGTATGTTAGGTACTGTATTAGAGCGTAGGCATTCCAAGCGGCGTTAAGGATAAATCCCCATTGGGATTCTTCGGCGACAACATCAGATCCTCACGACTATGTAGCTTTCTACCTACGAATTACCTAAGCCCATAAGGACATCTCCGTAAGGCTTAAGGCTTAGGGCTTATTAGTTAGTGTAAGACGTCTCTAATCAAAACTGAGGCCTTATTTGGTTACGCAAAGTAGCACAATAACAAGAACAAGACCATACATATTGCTTTCTTCTCGCTTCTTCTTTTAGGCATACCTCTAAAATAATACGTGTGCTAAGACAGCATGCTATGTATGTTGCTTTTTTCCCGCCCCGTAAGCACTAGGAGCCTGTCAAAATTGCGGTTCGGCTGTCAACTCGCTGTCAGGGTCCCCTACAATGCCAGCTAATGTAGAAGCGGTCAGCGGGCTCCAGCTTCGCTGACTATCTTCACCACTCATATTCGATTACAAAGTCATTACTATGTAGACCATGTAAACCTGCAGCAATATATAGTAATGAAACCCATGTTTTCCTTCTTGCCCAGCTAGCTAACCAGCTACTTACTTTCATATGTACGTATTGCATAGTATGCATAGTATGCATGTTAATCACCAGCCAGCGGGTTTTCGGTCGGACTGCTGTGCCGCTGACGCAAACGTAAAACTAGCAAGGCTTATGGGAATCCTAGAGGCACCAGCTCTTATGGCTCATATGGCGGAATTACGTCCACATACATAGTACACTACGTAGATGACAGATTCGTGAACATTCGTAATCGGTCGCTCTTCAGGGGGCCTGCGCGTGGGCCGTGGCGTGTCTAGCGTCAGTAGAATACCTGCAGAAGTTGATGGTTAATGCAGTACGACATGCATCGAGTTAGGGTCCTGGCAGTCTGGCAAGCTGCTCTATTATGTATGTATTGTACCTAGGTATTGTAGGTATTGTATTGTACTTTGACTCGTTCTCCAGCTCGCAGCTCGCACTGTCAAGAACCAACATTTTTACCTAGGTAAATTCCAACATTTCAAGACAAATTGTGACCAGTGTCATTATCTACCACCTCATCCGGGAATTGATATACCTATCACGAACCATCTTAAAAGCTTATTTTCACTTTGTATCCTACCTAGCTACTTTCCAAATCCCGACGGCATATCTTGAGGTTCATTGGTGTATCCTGCTTACTAGGAAATCTTCATAGCCACTAATTCAAACCAATAAGTAGCCGATAGTCGCCGATTACTATGTAGCTCCAATATGCAACAATGAGATGTATCTCGAACCGAACTGCTTTGACCTCGGGACATTTAACAAAATACATAAACCCCAACCGGTTGTAGCCACCCTTTCTCAACGACGGCGAAACCGATGCAAACTGAGAGCCTATGGCTACGCGCCGGTTCTCGATGACTACTTGGTGTATCGACAAATAGATTGTCAGTAGTACGGGAAAACCGGATATCCGGGATGAGGTGGCCAGATATTCTCTAAGAACGACGTTGCGCATCACGTTAGTTAATGACAGCTCAACTTGGCAACGAGTCACTCGACTCAGATAGACCCAACCGGACAAATAGAAAATTAATAGAAGTTTACCCTACTATAATAACCTTTCAACAATTTGAGATGTCTCATTTGACTGCCAAGTTACCAAGCGGCTTAAAACCGACTTACACGTGGTAGAGTTATACGTTTTGGATGTGAATAGTATGTTGTTTTATCACATTTCACTGCGATATCGCAAAATACGAATAACATGCATTCATGCTGTCAGCAATGGGAGGACATACGTAAAATGAAGAGCGGCACTTACGAAGACATTCGGTATGGGTTATGATCCATATTCTTTATACTACCATTCCAACGTTTATTAGACAATACAATACACGTATATTAACCACATACCGAGATACCAGTCTTTGATGTCATTACAAATATGTCACCTACTTGTTGAATCCTAACCTGCATCGAGTCTTGACTATTACGTAGGTAGACACGTACCCCGCAACGCTTATTTGACTTTGAATATGTGTCTTATGAGGACAAGGAGTATCATATACCATTAGTTATATTACTACGTTCACTTTGCTAGCTCTCCACTGCTTCTAAATAGGCCCTCACTCAAAAACGCAAACGGGGGAACTAACAATGTTTCTCTACGTCTCAATAATTTAAACCAACTGGAGTTTATATGATTCATATTCTAGGAGCTTAGGTACTTTTGAACGTATTTAGGATTTGACATCGAAATAATATATCAATAGCATTTTTATTTTTCTTACACATGCCTTTCAATGTTCTTAAAGTGCTTGGCAGTTACCGTTCTACTGGGTTAAGTAGTAATAGTACCAATATTAATTCAAAGGCCCTCTACGTTGAATATATCCTTCAAACCTAATTGGTACTATCGTTGCTATTTATTAAAAGTCCTGTACTCAACGCGGATCCTCGTAAGCAGGAAGATACGATGCTATAATGATGATGATTTCTCTTGATACTAGATGATTCGCATCAAAATGATCAAACCACCTAAGCTCCTAAGGAATAGACGTCGCTTATCATGTATATGGGCTTGAAAATGACCGTTAGGCTATTGAAAGCAGTTCACTTATACACACCATAAAGCAAGCTAGAATTGAGTTGAAGCTCTCGAAGCTTTACATGAAGAACTGGAGAAGTATCGTCGAATGAGATGCTAAGCACAGTGCCGAATTCGGCAAGTACCTGATTTAGCTTTACGATCCCAAGTTTGGCAGGTGGCAGGTAGCAACTTGCTTAGGTGGGGGAAGAAGGAGCGCTACCATTAATAATAATAAGACCGCGCGTAGCGTCTTCGGTACGTATATGTACAGTCGTAGAGAACCTAGAGAGCCCCATTATGGCCCACATCAGCTGGTGGACCCGAGCGTTCTGCGGAAATTTCTGCACCGTTATTTTAGGAGCTACCAGCCTGCATGCGTTCCCCCCTTCGGTAAGCCATGTCACTTACTTGACCATTTGATTGGCTAGATGCCTCCATCCTTTACTTCAGTAAAATACTCTGGTCCAAACTCACAAAGCATGGTCTCCACCATCCATCCATTACTCGACCGCGCCAGTCTGATTGTCCAGGCAGCCCAGTGAGATACTTATGTACAGTAGGTAGGCTACCTAGTACCAGGTCACACCGATAGCTCCAGCACCATTACACTATCTTACGTACCTAATTGATGTATCTATTTAGGTATCTACCTAGGTACATGCCTTTCACCCCGTGGGGTATGCAGACAAGCGAAGCAAGCAACCGCGCATTATGGTAACTGTTCATCTAGTGTACCTTAGGTTCCTCTAGACGTACCAGGCGCACCAGTCCTTACAATAGCATTATTATTATTATCAACCTACCCGAGGCAGCGAGGGTTGTTGCTACTTTATTAAAAAGTCGAGTGATATCGCTAGCACTAGTTCTGCACTAAAGCACAGAGGTAGCTAGTTCGGTCATAAGCCAGGTAAGTGATTGGTCTGATTAGAGAGGCACCTCCACGATTAGATAGAGCTAGCAGGGCCCCTCTAGCATTGGGCTGGGGGTGAGAGCAGGGGAACGAGGGGGAAAGCACCAACGGTCCTACTGCTGGTGTAGGCTGGTACAGTCTGGTGCTATGAACTGTATGATCAGAGCAAAAAGAGTGGAAAATCACGACCCGCCACCTAGTGGCCCATGCCCCCGCAGCTTCTGTCTTTTTTTTCTTTTTAAACAGTGCGGCCTTGACCACGCAAAAGCCCGTGTGCTACCACCTCGCTATCCTCTTTTCAATCATCCCGCATTCACCTTTCCTGATCAATCAATCAGACCAAGCTTGATACTGGCAACGTTTTGATCTTTTCTCACAGGGGAAGTTTAACTCCAAAAACGTACTGTTTGACAATCGCCGAGCCTCCCTTTTCAGAATCCCCTTGACTTTATTTGCATCAGCCCGCAAAGCACCGACCATCACATCTAGGTTAGTTGGTTGTCAATCACTTTTTTCGAGGTTCGCGCCCACTACTAATTGAAATTAATTATTATTTTTAAAACTACACTTTTTAAATTGTTTGTTTTGGGCAATTGACTAACATATTCCACCTACCTTACCAGGCAAACATACCAAAAGTTGACCGACCTATTGACGAATACTTTCCAAGCTACCACCCGACCGGTGTACCGAGAGACAACCCCAAAAAAATAAAAACAACCAACCCGAAGCCAAACAAAGCCGCACGGCCAATCTTTTACTTTTTTTTTTTTTTACCCTATTTTCCCTTTTGACACATTTTTTTATATTTTTTATTTCCCTAGGCAGGAAGTAGTAATTAACAATTTCTACGCTTGTTCTTCGGCCCTCATCTTCCAACTTTAATCCGCCCGGTGGCCGCGCACCAGACTCGATACAGCAGGCGCCCCAACCAGGTTTCTGCGACAGAATTACAGCCTACTACAACCCAGAGCCTCTCCGCTCAACGCCAGATCAAGTATAGGTCGTCGGCACCACGACCAAAACAGTATCTCCACCATTTTTGCCTTTTTCGTTCGTGATACAATCGTCGTACCTCGATAAAAATGGCCGACATCACAGACCAACACGATCAAACTTCTCCCACCGAACTCGACGATTCCCACGTCGGCAATGGCAATGCCGGCCCTGCAGAAAACCGTGGCATCAAGCGCCAACGCGCTAGTATCGCGGACGACGACGATGATGATGATGAGAAGGGAAGTCGCGAGCGTCGCAAAATTGAGATAAAGTTCATTAGCGACAAGTCGCGTCGTCACATCACCTTCTCCAAGCGCAAGGCCGGAATAATGAAGAAGGTATGTTTATGCACCAGCTTCTATTATCTTCATCGCATATTAGTTCACCGACCATCGCGTTGAACGCGTTACTTGTATTGAGACTGAGTTTCCAATCGTGCCAACATTTATACTAACGTCATATTTCCTAATTAGGCATACGAGTTGTCTGTTCTGACGGGCACTCAAGTTCTGTTGCTTGTCGTGTCGGAGACTGGGCTTGTGTACACATTTACCACCCCCAAGCTCCAACCGCTGGTAACCAAGGCGGAGGGAAAGAATCTCATCCAGGTTCGTGTCTCGCGACTCAGCTCAGCTCGATTCGAGTCCTAAACTGACCGATTATATTTAGGCTTGCTTGAACGCGCCTGAGCCTACCCAAGGCAACGAGAATGGCGTCGACGATTCCAACCAAGTCGAATCGCCTGAGGAGCCGCCCAATTCTCACCTGCCCCCTCAGACGAGCCGACCGGGAATGCCTTCTCATATGCCTCCGAACTACGTACCTAACGTACCCATGGACCCTCAACAAGCCATGGCGTATCAAAGTTACATGCAGCATCAGCAGCGCGGGCAATTTGGGCTAGCACAGTCTGGTATGCCACAGCACACCTCACATCAATCGTGACGGTCGCCATAGTGGCGACAGTATTGCCTTGCACCTGATACCCCGAATTTAATGCATTCACGAGGTTCTTTTTTATTCGAGGCATTCTGAACACACCTATAATTGCAAGGCTTCGGTGGTCCGGCGTTGTTGGGTCATCGTGACTTATTTCTTATTTGTTCTACACAATGCGACCATATTATTTCCGTACCGATTTCGACCGTCTTTCGTATTATATCACTTGTCGCTGACCAGATTTGCGATTGGTGATCCTGGGCTTCGACCCAAATTTTCAGTATCCATTAATTCTTGCTTCATATTCCACGGAATAAACTGAGGCCCAGCTTCGCTAAGCTTAGGGACTTGGTTTCTCACCCTCTCCCGATCTTCAATTTCCCGAATGGTAGTAGGCTTTATAACAATGACGGTAGCCCTTACACCGTCCATAACTAGCCATTAGGAGATCTGTTTCGGCCATTATTCCGAAAATGGTCTACACTACCTTCGACACTAACTTGCCACTAAAAAGTTGAAAGTGTGGTCTTCGTCGATATGTAACGCGTCGGTTTACATTGGTCCTACCGGTCGCCTCTTCTACGACCGCATACGTCTGGGGTTGCTTCCCTATTACACCTACCTGGACATAGGAGTGTAGGAGATGGCAACCACATTAAGATAATATACGATGGGATCAAGAGTTGTCGAAAGAATCTCAATGGATACTTCGCCTTCTAAGTCTGCGTGGCCACTACTAATTCTCGAACTGGATCGACCGTCCCTATGTTTGATAAGGAAACGGCGACAATGATTTACGAATCATGGCTGACGAATATATGAACGAAACCGATCGATCGGAACCGACTTTGCTGTTAAATGGCCGTTGAGGCAGGCATCTTCGTAAACCAAGACTTTTGCTACTACTACGATTCACACTACCATCCAAAAGTCTTTGACGACCAAAAACTCCTGTGGGAGGGGTGGCAATCATTCCTTAACGCAGTTACAAGTTTTCGTCCTCATCCCCAGTACTCGATTGAGGATAGAGTTTACGTTTCTGGCGTTCTCAATGCCCCGGCATCAGCATAGTTTTGGGCACATGTCTCAGGTTTCAATCCGATCGTTTCTATCCATCTGAAGTCATTTTCTCCAGGCATTGGGCCGTGATGGGCTGGATGAAAGGTGGGACGCTCTACGCCGTCGTAGGAGGAGGCGCGTTTGTATGATAGGAATCATCCCACAGGCAGGCATTGTCCTCCCGTAGATCCCCAAGATCTTGGCGTCTGGCAATTGATATTTCAGTTGAGAATTGCTCCATATCGAAGTTAAATTCCTAGAAGCTCTCTGATGTTGTGAATTCCGTTGATTTAATATGAGTGATTTGTCTAGTAATTTCTCCAATGCGAGTGATTTTGCAGCAGCTTCGGTCTATTTTTCGTGCTGATCCAGAGCTGAACCTAACCATTAATTCTACGTAGTAATCTGTAAAACGGAGGTTTGGTAAACAGGTATGTAGTTTGCCGTACGCGTTTTTGAACTACATGTGTTACTAGGGCACCTTTGGAGAACGGGATGTGCCATACACGTTTTACGTCTAACACGTCACGCTCGGAAGTAATTGGGTCCAAATATACCAGTCTTTTGTATTAAGATCTTGTGTTCATGGCCAGTGTTTGTATGCGTCGAGCCATGGTGTGTATATATGAGAGGTAGTTGTAGTTGGTAAGGGGGCGTCTGGACGGAGTGTTGCCTCTTGTTTCTTTCTAGGATTAAGTCTTCAATCTCAATATATTTCTCGGCTGTGCAGTACATTACATTGCTTTGCTTCGAGTAGGATCGTGAACACGTAGACACGGTTCTCATGTAGGCTGGTTTGCTGTAAACCGGTGGGTGGGTGGGTGTATGGAGGAGTTGCACAAGTTCGTGTTTGTGTTACTGCGGTGAATTGCTCGGGTCTATGTAGATGGTCTGGCGAGTGGTGGGCTGGTTACCTACTCTCTTTGACACGGGGGGATAGGAAGGCAGCGTGAACCTGATAGAAGCTATGGGTAAAGTTTAACTAGTAGTTCCCTTTCAGTTTAAGGGGCATCAATTGTGTCTTTTCTCATCACAGTTGCTCTATTGATGAGCGGGACTAAGTAGTTGGTTTGCCCCTTTTTGAAAGAAAAAAAAAAGGGGGGGGGGGAAGGTCGGTTGCTATATAACATGTAGGCTTACATTGCTTAGGACTTAGAAAGGATTAATATTATCTTACAAGGCTCTAAGCTTTTGGTGCTCATTTTATAAGGTAACTTACCTATACAATGGAATATTCTCAGTTGTTGCTACCATTCTTTGTCCATTTCGGTCAGATTCATGCTGTCCGCATCGGTCGATTGCGAACGGACTAATTACCTAGGTACTAAGTGTTCCTTAGTCAATAGCCCGTACAAATCATGACGAATATTTAGATGTATGTGTGTTTGACTTACTATGCTAACTATAAAGATAGGGCTTTGATCTAGTTATTGGAGAACTGATAATGGTATTTATTCCTATCCTTCTAAAGGAAGCGAGACATCTTAACTTTTAGCCTTTTTGACTTTATGGGGAGAGTTCCTTACTGCGTAAATTTATTCATTAGTAGATCCATATCCGCCATCCTTGGAACCCTTTTATCTTGCACTCATATACTTCTCCATCCATCCATGTTATAGGAGACTGGATATGTCACTCGCCTTCTGATGACTATTAATATCCCCAATTGACCGTTCCAATTAAGAGCTTTTGATATCAATACCATTTGACTTTAGACTCGGTTAAGATGAACTGTGACATATCCCTAGGAGAGACATGGGGACAGTGAACAGTACCTACTCTAACAATCGTCAAGGCCCTTTGGGAGATATTCAAGTCTTGACTAATCTTATTAGCAACATAGATGGGCTTCAGTTATGCGCCATTGTAATTCTCCTATTTCGCCTTCGTGACCTCTGTAAGTAGGCATATCCTACTAGCTCGTGGCAATTACGGTCTTATGCCTAGGCTAACGAGAACCTGTCATTCTTCTCTACCTGCCATAATATATCATTTCCCTTAATCTTTGAAGGTATTATTGTAGCTTAACTGTTAAAACTCTGTCAAATCTAATAACTAACAGTGTCTTGAATATTGGATAGAAGGATGGAAGTCTGGGTATCGTGATGAAGGCTTCTCGTCAAATTTGTCAGAGTTGCTGGTTTATACCTTTATGCGTATTATCTCTTGGTAGGCAATATCTCCAACTCATATTCTGAATATTATTTGGGAGTGGTAGTTTATAACTACGGGGTACGGATTTGGGAGCCCAACTGGTTTATCCTCCTGAAAGCTCATTAGGAATACACCCTGTGTGCTACGTAAGGCTACACTATATCAATGCAATTACAATTCATCTCTCGAAACCTACTGCACACCGTTATCGTTGAAATATTCCTATCCTATTGTTCTCCTAATAAAAATTTAACCCCTATTTCGAGACCCCTGAGGTAAACCCCGCAGGTTAGCTTTTACGGTTGCGTAGAAAACAAATAAGTTGCAGATGTGCGCAAAGGTGGATGGCAATAATAAGGCTTGTCTATAGATTTAGATCGGAGTATATCTTACTATTTTAAGGATGGTAAGGTTGGCGATGGAACGCATGGTGACATGCAGTCAACTCGAAGCACGTGAAGCGGAGATCTGAGTCTGGACCCGAGCCCAGATCTCTGGCCTTATGTAGGTAGAATTGGACTGACCGGCAACAAGGGTCCCGGAATAGGTCAAGCAAAGCTGATGATTTGTGGAAAATACGTGGGGTGAGCGACAGGGGTATTTCTTTACATACATACACTACATATTAGATGAGCAGATTTGAGAAGGTTTCTTACCCCCACTGGCCGCGGAGAGAATGTACGACATAGAATAGCTCCTTGCTTCCATAGCTCCGGACTGGTTCAGCTTCAACTCATAATCATATTGATAGGATTCTTGCGAAATTAATGCAGCCTTTGGATCTCTAAATTGCCTTGTTTGAGTAGCAAATACCTCAGCTTGCATGTTTGCTTACTGTCCCCCCTAAACGCCATGCTCAAATCGCAGTGATGATAATAAAGTGCCCCTCCCTTTTTGCCTTATAGGCTGATATCAACTAGCCTGGAACCCAATGCATACCATCCCTCGTAAACTTGCAAACACCACCGGACTCATGCTCGTGCCGTCGTATCGTAAATTGAAAAATTAATGTGCGCCGTCTTGGCGACTTGAAACCCGGCAATGCTTCCCTTTCCTTCTGCGATGATGCGTTTTAGTGTTCTGAGTTGTAGAATCGGCCGACAAGCAGGCTGCCTAGGAATGTGCCACCGAGGACTGCAATGAAGTATCCGACGTTCATTGTCATGACTGCCAACATGCTATGTGTCTTTGTTAGTCCCAGCCATAATCACTGATTGGTATGGTTTGAGCTTACAGAAGATAGCTGATACCGGCAATGCAAGTATCTAACACCGCTCGCATAGGATCGACCGACATTCTCCAAGGACGAAGGTGAAGCTGTTTCTTCTGGACGACCACAACATCCTCTTCAACGCCATTTTCCGTCAGTGTCATCTTCTTGCTGAAGCTGTCAGTTGACACCTGCTCTGCGACAGGGAGCTTTCCCTGCACAACAACGTATCTTCGCTTCATCTCGGCATCCAACCATCGCTCCTCTGCTAGTGCCTTGCCTGCAAGTAGTAGTCGAAATGTTATGCCAAGAATGAGCAAGAATATGATGGTTCCAGCGTAGGCGCCGCTTGTGCGTGGTGTCCAGGAATTCGAGTAGAGAGACGTAGTGATGCTGTTTTGAAAGACCATATTCATCATAGACGAATGCGACATATCCATGCCACTCATGTTCATCGTCATATGTTGATCATCGCGCGGGGACAACATTGCGATTGATCTATTTTGCTAGTCAAGATTGGGAAGATCAAGTTAGAAGGAAGCCGAGGTATTGTTGTTGAGTAAGGTTGTTCACAGAGCCGTGGAATATATGTCGCGTTGGATCGGGATGTTGACTACCCAGGGAGGGTTTCTATTCGTGAAATATTCCAGTCACGGCTACGGTAACCAGACCAGTGTCAGGGATATTCTTTTGGGTATGAATGATTGAACTTTTGCGACGAAACTTGGGCGCGTTGCTCATGAATCGCATATGATACTCGTAGAATTGGTGAGACAGGGTGAATAGAACTTGAACTTAGATCTTTGAGTGTTACGCTGGCAGCAAACGATTTGAAAGAACAGGTCAAAAGTCCAACGTGCAATGATCCAAAAATAAACCTTGAATTACAGACTAAAAGAGAGAAGGGAGGGAAGGAAGAACTATCAGAAAGGCGAAGGCGGAATTGTGTTGCTTTTCTTTCTTTCTTGTAGAGGGATGGGAAGGTGCGGCAGTAAAGTAATAAGTACCACAAAGTTTTGCCAGGGTATATATGGTAGACGGTTAGGATATTTATGCCAAAATCGAAAAAGTTGGTAGTATTATGTTTAATATGGTAATAATAACGTTAAGAATATAGTATAAATTTGATTATTTACCTTATATATATAATTTATAAGGTAATATATATATTTTTTTTAATTTATACTGTTATAATTTAATAAATATTTATTTAAATCTTTTTTAAAAAATATTAATATTTTAATTAAAAAATAATAAAAATTATAGTTTTAATTATATATAATTTAAATTAAAATTAGTAAAAATATTAAAAAGTTATATAATTATATATATATAGTTATATAAGCTTTATTATTTAAGTTATTTTTATTATTAATTTTTAAAATTAATTAATTAAATTAAAAAATTTTATTATTAATTTAATTTTTAATTGTTTTATATATATAATATATTTAAATAACTTTTTAAAGATAATAATTTAAATGTTATAATTAATATTATATTATAGTTTTAATTAATGCGAAAATAATGATTTAAATTGTATTTGAATTAACTTTTTAACTATTATATTATAATAAAATTAAATAACGTTTGTTTAAAAAGGTAAATATGTAATATCTTTTAAAAATATCTTAATAAATAAAGTCATTTTAAATAAATTTTAAATATTTTAATAGTAATATAATACTTAATATATATTGTATAAACATATAATTTAGTCCATTATTTTCGCATTAATTAAAGTTATAAAATAATATTAATTATAACGTTTAAATTATTATTTTTAAAAAGTTATTTAAATATATTATATATAAAATAATTAAAGATTTAAATTAATAATCGAATCTTTTAATTTAATTAGCTGAATTATATTTATTTAATATAAAATAATAAAAAAAAAAATATTTTTTACTTTGTATATACTTTGCATAGTATACTGTACATCTGTTATATTATCTTTTTTGGAAAGCCCTGACCCATTTTCCTGATTTTGGCACAAATGTCCTAACCGTCCACCATAGTATAGGTAGTTTCATCACGTAGTACATACAAGTACATCTGTTACATATGCACACCTTACGGCCTTAAAGGACTGCTATGTACCTGAAGTACCGATAATTTCAAGGCAGGAGAGCATGACAAACGCGACCGTACCTACGTCAATTTGTCTTAGGAAACAAAGATATGTTAAATTTAGTAACCATTATCCAAACACATAACGCAGTACAATATTAGTACATGTATCTCCTGATCTCTTTTTCAGCGCTTATATGCTCAAAAGACCTCATTGTGGTTTAGGTACCATCTAACCGGTTCGGTGCCAAGCCGGATTAAGTAGAGGCAAGTACAATCTACGCACGCTAATTGGCTGTCTTGCTTTATATAGATCTTGCATCCCTGTTACCCCATATTCCATTTGAGATCTGACCGATACGTCTCGGTGTAAGTTGCTTCGTGAACCTTTTTGTTGCTTATCAAATACCCAGTATCTACTTAAGGTTTTGTTAAACAACCCAGAATAAATTATTAAATATAATATTCATCATTTATTTTTGTTATTTCTCACATTGTATTTATTATTAACCGTGGACCTCTTCCTATTGATCTGATGAGCGATAGCTTACAGTCTTAAATTCTGTTGGAGTTATTGGCCAGTGTCGGCTTCCTTTAGGTAGGTTACTTATCATAACTAGCCCCTTGAAAAATAGCCCTGTGTAGCCAATTATCATGTGATAAACCTCGTGTGCCGTTGCGGCCGTATGCGCGTTTCATGAAGCGGTGGTGTGTGGATGTAAGTAGTAAATGGGACCACAGCTTCGTTAAAGTAGGAGAAACTATGAAGCTACCCAAGACTGGACAGCTGATATAGCTAGGAGTTCTATGTCTAAGCACCTACCTAGGCAGTTAGGGATCTATCGGCTATTAGGTAAGAAAAAGCACTGAACGCGGATATATGAAAACTATACTCCTATACATAGTATTCATGATAGGAAGATTGATTGCTAAGCACATTCTCGTGTATAGCTCCCTAGGACATGCATTATCTTCACCCTGTCCTCTGCGAATTCTTGCTAGAAGGACTGAAGTATTGGCTCTCAAGCTTCATACTTTACAGTCCGAGGGTGGAAAGGGGGGAGAATGGGGCGCAGATTCTACTACGGTGCGATAATATATCTTGACGCCTAAGAGCGTAGATTTATAATCATTTAGAGTCTGTAAGGCTCGGGTTGAATGCTCTATGTTGCAGAAATTGAACTTTGCTATGATCTTATATACCTTGAAAGTAAGTATAGTATAATGAAGCAGGTGATAGTGTTAAAGCCCTAGATTTCGCTTGAAAGCTAAAAGCTAGCATGAGGTAACCATTTTTATGCTTTCGTTGTGTACTTCTTAGTAGGATGTCAATATACAGCCGACTTTTCCAATGCCTTGCTCTATTTCCTCAGATATAAAGCTGATAGGTATTGAATTGAGAATTTCAAAGACCAGGAATATCATTCCGGCATACATACACCTGTTTATGAAGTTTATGAATAACGGTCTTGAGTCCCCTAGGGTTTACTCTTGACATGAAAATGTTAATGGTCTTAGTCTTCACCTCGCGTCATAACTGCGAGTAGAGTCCTTGTGCTATGGACCTTCCTTTTGGCGCATCTTTGCTGTTAGGATTATATATTATAACATTATAGCGTACTATACTTGGCAGCTAACCGTGGATTGTATTTTCTATTAACGACTATTAGAGTAGATTGCTTATAGGTAAGACTTTAGCCCCTTTCTTTTCCCCTTCTAGCTCGAGGATCTAGAAAGGGGTAAATAAAGGATATTAAGGACTGTTATAGGTAATTTTTATTGTAGTCTTACATAGAAGAGGAGTTACGTATTCAAGCAAATATGCTAGCTCCGAGTAAAATATAGTATGTAATACAGAGAGGCAAATAAATTGTTATGCTGTCATATTAGCTGGGTCCTTTCTACTCACTTCTTGGAGGATTAACTATTGCTAGCGCCAGACAGAAGGGATAATAAATAGGAGAGTAAAACGGATGAAATTTTAAAATTCTAGAAGCGACTTAATACCTACCAAGGTATTTAACTGACTACCAGTAGGTTAGGGATTAGGATGTATATTTGAGTGGTTTGCATAGGGAGGGGAAAATAACTTTATCTTCTCTTGTAGAGCTAGCGTTCAATCACTGTTTCTATATTTCGCCTTTTTAGATCCTTACGATGAACTATGTATAGATGCTCTCGTAAAGGTTTGGTTGAATGTTGGTTTTGAAGTACTCTTAGAAGTTCTAACAACAAGAGAAGTCAAGTTAAGGATATCTATAAGGGGGTGGACAAATTAAGGGTAGGTACAAGAAACTTATTTCATTAAAGCTACAATTAGGGACTCGTAGTAATACAATTCCACATTCTGCTAAATATACGTGAAGGAAAGCGCTAAAAGAGAAAGGAGAAAATAAAACTAATATTTAGAATGCTGTCACGCTTTACACATACTAGTATTGTGTATTAATCCCTAGATTTTCTAGTGAATGTAAGACTGAATTAAGTACCTACGTAATATCAAATAAGAGGCACCTATGGTGATATCTCGTACTACGCCATCTAGTTTAGAAATGTATCAAAATTCTATAATGGGAAGGATATGTTAAGTCATGGAAACTGGCTACTAGAAACGTCCTGTGTTCCGTTAAAGGGGTATTATTAATTGGATACTGGGATTATAGTATAATATAGATATTCAAAGAGTCTAGGTTCTTTGCACATGGTTTGATAGATGGGGCGTATGAGGACATGACAAAAATATCATCTACGCTGTTTTAGGGGAATTATTCAATACTCTGTCTAAGCTATAAACTCGGTGGCGATTTGGTATTCTTAGATCGGTCAAGATACTGCTGGGAAGTTCACTTAACCCTACGATATCACGAATAGGGAGACCTTGGCGGTTTGCTACACATGTCATTATCAATCATCGGTTCCTTTCTGGAGTCGCACGACCCAAATTCTCTTATGTAACTTCCTAGAAGAGCGAAGCGAGTAGCACAAGACAGCTCTGGAGAAAGTTGAAGCTATTAGCACACGCCTGTGGCACCAACCTTTACGCGGCCGAGCCTCGGCTGTAATTATATATGCAAACCGAGCATGATGGTTCCTGGAACAACTATGAATCTTCGGAAGCAGTGTCAATCCCAACTAGCACGATAGGGAAGCACACGGCTCACTTTATGCGCTCTGAAACGTCGTGTTCTTTGAGGAACACTATGTTACAGGACAGTTCACGTACACAGCAGATGATGCCCAAGTGTTGGGACACCACGTCAGCGCCATTGTACGAAAAGGAAGTAATGGCGAAGCGGGCAAGTCAACATGATGGCCTGGGTTACACGGGCGTTGATCCAAGTGAAAGTCACTGCAGAAATTTGCCGAGCTGCAAGCAGCCGTTCTCCCCTCCTACTCCTTTCCACCTAAACTGCAACGCGGTGGTTGCCTAGCAAAGTAGGGATCATCTGATTATTCCTGTGGCCCCTGTGGCCGCGGGTCTTGTATTCCCAATCGCCCCGTCGGTCGTG